CCAGCAAAATCAAAATATGGTTGTAGCGAAAAAGACAGGAAAAACAGAAGAGGATGTAGCAAAAATCAACAAACACCGGTAGTAACAAAAAATCGAAACGGTTGTAGCAAATTGGTTCATCGGTTGCAGCAAAAATCACCTGGTAGCAAAAATTTGGGCGGGTGGGTGGTAGCAAAAATTAATGATGGTTCCAACAAAAAAAGTAGTTGGTTCCAACAAAGCTGGATCGCCGCCGAAGTTGTCGCAGCACGGCCGTCGCCTGTTCCAGCATTGTGTGGCTGGTTGCAGCTGCGCGAGCCTATGCTTGTAGCTCCGCCGAGCCGAGGTTGCATCATCTTCTGTTGGTGGTTGCCCACTCCTACAAGCGGAGCGGGGCGTGCAGATCTTCGTCTGTAGCAAGCCATCTGCTGGGGAAGCCCGCGGCGAGTAGATGGTGCCCTTGCCAGAGCTGCACGCGGCCTGCTACTGGGGCAGAGCGCGAGCTGCGCGTGTCCGCGGCCAGTAGATGCTGCTCTTGCCGGAGGTGCAAGCTGTGCGTGATTTGTTTAGCCATGGATTTGTGTCATTTGGAGGAAGCACAGAGAAAGAGGAAAATAGATTGTGTTTGGGTTAGAAAAATGAGTGGAGGAGGGCGTCCCGTGGATAAGATAAGGGCAACACAAAGTGGTGCGTGGGCCATGTGCTGTGAGCCCACTACGCGAGGAGACCGGCGCTGGCTTCGACCGGTCAGCCGGTGTTAAATGTTTCCCAAAATAAAATTATGTACAAACTGAAAAGAGAGAAAGAACAACATATACCCCAATTTTGTAAACACATCGAAATATTGGTCAATCCACTTTAGAGAATTTGCTTTGTCAGGCTACAATAATTAGTTTTCATGAGATTTTGGCCTAATGTGTAATACCAAACCGTACAACAAAAGTGTAAAAAACCTCTACCCATATCAAAGAAATTAGCATAAATTAAATTAAACTATATCATGAGCTCGGTAGGCATGCATGTATAGACTCCTGTCCTCTCCCTTGTCTGAGAACCTCGTATGTGGTAAGAGGAGTGGAGACTCGTTTGTTTTGTTTTTCTTTTCCTTAGGTTTTATTTTCCTGGTGGCATCGATGAGGTGGTCATGGTGATAACATATTGGAATAAGGTCACTCCGACCCCTTCCTACATCGATGATGTCCAATCCGGTGTCGACGAAGGGTCTGTGAGAACTTGTGTCGCCAGATATGTTGGCTCTCTTCGGATCTTGATAGTTGGTGTGTCTATCAAAGAGAGCACTTGGCTGGCTACTTGTGCGGCGATTTCGACATCTTCTTTCATGTTGTTATGCTTCATGGTTCGGTTTCTCCTACTCTCTAGACTGGTGGTGATGAATTGCAAGTCTATTTTGCATTGGGTGATGCCCCAACCAATGATTCTTCAGTGATTTCTAAATCTCATATCAAGCGGCGAGTGCCTATTGCAGTCTTTAAACCCTGATAGGGCATTTGTAACTGTCTCTTTCCTTTACTATTGGTTCACTGCAATTTTTAATTTCCGTGGGCAGCGTACAATTGAAGGAAGAACTAGACCATGACGGCGCGCGTTGCTGCACCCGTCTATTTTTTCAATAGGCTCGTAGGGATATATAAAAATATATGGATTAATGAGAGAATTGAACTCCTATTTTCAATGACATGTAATCGAACAAAATATTGACAATTTTATGAGATTGTTCTCTTCTTTAGTTGTTCTATTGTTGTCAGCTTATCTTATGCCTTAACGACATCGGAGCTCACTAACATGTATTGCTAAAGAAAATGGATTCACATGGTATAGAATAGTATGTATTTTCACATGATTCAAACATGCTAAAATACTCGCATCAAAAAGTTCAAGTGCATAGATAACAACTGAATCAATATTGAAAGATCCCGTAGTGAATTTATGAACTCTCATAAATTGCATCTGCTCAATAGGGGACAAAAATAATAATGCAAATATTTGCATGTCTTTTCAATTTGTGGAACCTTAAGTGAAGGTCTCACAAAGACTTAAGAGAATAAGAGCATGGTGTAAAGTGCTTTTATCATAGTGTGTTCCCGAAATGCATCCAGGGAGAACTTTGTATTGATGTTCTTTAATCAATAAAGTGACAACATTCTAAAAAAAGGAAATATAAGAGCGAGACCACTTGCAGGGAGAAGGAAAGTGGAACAAGATGGATGTATAGAAGAAACAAGATTACTGTTGCCAGAATGGTTACATATTCTGTACATGATCCACATCTCGGGGGACTTGTCTCCAACCGAAAGGTTAGGATAATGGGGTGCACCTACACCCGTGATTAAAAATACATGCACCTATTTGTAGTGTCGGTTTCAGTTCAAAACCTTAGTTTCAACTGATGGCATACACTGCAGTATGACCTAGAGAGCCAAAAACAAGGTTCAATTTTTCCTGGGGCATCTTGTCTGAAAAGGTGTTCGAGAAAACATGGTATCCTAGAAAAATAAGATTGAGTGAAATAAGGAACCTACCAGGTAAAAGATACATAAATATACAGACAAAAAAATAACAACCAATCAAAAAACTTTTATCTTGAACAAATTTGAGAGTAACAAAAAAAGGACTACCAATTTTATCGAACAGAAAATGACTACCACTTCTATCTCTAATTGTGCAAGCACACATTTGAGAGCAAGCAATTCAAGAACATACCAATGCAAAATGCCCCGGTTGCATTAGCTTGTTGTTTCACCTGGCGTGGATACTTTCTTTTTCCGCTTGGATAACCTCCCTGCAACTTGCGAACAAAAATAGGGCTCTGTCATTTTCATCAATTTAGCAACGATGTTTTGCTTTCAAACAACTCCATACGTTTTACTGTGCAAAGTAAGGTTGATTACCTCGAGCATAACTCATGTACAAATGTTGGGATTGACTGCCCATATATCTAGGCATCACAATGGTTGCTAATGATCACATACTCTGAGAAACACATAACAAATTTAACATCGTTGGCTTGGGCTTGGTTATTCCTCAAGGATTCACGTGCCTGTTCCTACAAAACTTGATAACATCTAACCATTATCCCCCTGTAAAATGTAAAACCATCAACCATATGGCTCTGCATCACTTCTGTCTATCTTCTCTATTGTTGTAACATCTAATTTACTGATGAAGTTGACTACCATAATCTACATTAGAATAGTTGGTCGTCTGAAAGCTACACATAGCATAAGTCAAAGTTTGCTAAGAGCACCCCGCGATTTGTGTGTGTATACATGAATTGGAAACTTGAATCAAACCAGGTCGATTAGCATTTAGCGCACACATGAATTGAATTTCCGAATGCTGCATATTTACTGTAGTCAAGTTTGCTAAGCCACACAACACCCTACAATATTTGTACCACTAAGCAACGCCCACCTGTAATTTTGTCGTGTGAAATACAAATTCTCCAAAAAAAACTTGGCCATACAAATATAAACAGTTTTTTGCACACAAGCACTTTAATATCTTTTGGAATAGAGTGGGCATAACAGAAGCATACCTTGTTGAATCCAGAGATTGGAGTACCACAATGGCAAGTTGAATGTCGTTGGATATGGAGAGGATAGAGACGAGCAGAGATATGAGACTGTAGAGAAGATGAATTAAAATAAAGCACGGACAGATAGAATAAAGAAACTCACCAGGAACTTTGTAGTGTTGATCACGTCGTGGCGAGGTGAGTTCGTATTGCCGGCGGCAGCACGAACGAATGAGCAAACGAGAGAAACTGGATATGCGTATGGTCGTAGCAGCGCCACGTGCTCCTCTTTTGTTGAGCCCTAGTACCACAGATTCCAAGCTCCGGCTCAGGTCTTTTTCCATCTCCCTTTTCATCGATGTCCACAATCCGCAGCGGCAACAGGAGAATTAGGGAAGGCAGGGGAAGAAGGCGCAGAAGCAGAAGGTGGACCGAACGACGAAGGCAGCCGCAGCGGCATACCTAGGAGTGGACCTAGCTTCCGTCGGTGCCCCACAGTGGCAGTAGCGGCGGACCTAGGACTGATGTCGTCGCAAAGGCCACAAGTTGAGGTCGCGACGGGTGATAGGATTCAGGGGACAGATGCGGCACCGCTTGCTTCGCTGGGGCGGGTGAGGGAGGGGACATGGTGGAGAGGATCTGCCGCCGCCATGCAGTTAGGGTTCGAGTCGTCGAGGAGAGGGAAGGGAGAAGGGGTTCAGTCCTGCCATCGTGCGGTGGAGCGTGGAGCGGTCTCCCAGCTTAACGGGTGGTGACTAATGGGTTCCTGTACGACATGTCACCCGAATAAACCAGAATCTGGTGATTTTGGCCGCGTTCGGCTCCTCTCCGCTCCCTCCACTCCGCTCCGGAGTGGACCAGGTGCTAGCTCATTTTCACGGAGCTGCAAAAACTGAGCTCCACGACTCCACGGAGTCGGAGCGGTGAGGAGGGATTCTGAACAGAGCCTTTGTTACGGGAGCAGCTTCTCAATCGACGACGCACCCGATCCGCAACGGTACCAACCCGTAATCTATTTGATGCGGGAAGGAGCTCCACATCGAATGGTTAGGAACTTTCACAATCTCGATCTGACGGCCGAAAGCACAGAAGGTCTGAGAGGGCTCCTAAGGTGCACAGTTATAAAGCTAGGCACTATAGAGAGAAGAGGAGTGAGTGCTAGATTTGAATGATAATTGGGTTGGTAAATTCAAAATACAGGGTGCAAAGTGACTACATCGGGCAAGTTCACCATGGGCGTGTTTGGTTGCCGTTGTGAACAGTTCCTGCATCGCATACACTTCTCACCCCAGCCTGGTTGAGCAAAAACAGGTCCTAATACGCCATCTGCTAGTTGTTTGGTTGCCTGCATCTAGTGTCCCTGCATTAGGTAAAACGCAAGTGCACTTTGTTTGGTTGCCTGCATTAGCCCGAGCGGCACATGAACATGGCGTTTGGTTGCATACGGCGTACATGTTGTGCTTACCTTGTACCCTAGTTGGTGAGCTTACCCACACCTAGCACACCAACGCCACAACACAGCAATGGCGATGAACTGAGCGAAGATGATGCAGTTCTTCAGCTTCAGCCCAAACTGACGATCCACCTTGACACCTCCAACCTTGCGACTGTCAACACTGCTGCCGTGCTTTTTCTGCTGCCTGCCTAGTCTTGAACCCTCTATAGGTGTTGTTGCTAACTTGCTATACGATGCCACTTGTGCACTCGCTTCTTTCCATGAACTATAAACCCCTGGGACCTTACCGATGAACACAACATACGACTTGCCCTAGCAATGCACAAGAGCAAGAGTTAAGCACACTCGTCGCCACTGCCATCGCCGTCGGGGATCATGCACGCTCACAGGCAGCACTACTCTAGTAGTAGTGCTTGCCCAGGCAGCTCCTGAGCCACATCACCCTGTGAGCGTCGGTCATGGCAACGAACCTAACACCCTGGGCCTTGTTGTCAAGCAGGTGGCTGAGAGCTGCCATGAGAGCCTCATAGCTGAAGCCACCCTGGGTCATGACAGCGCCATACAGGTCAGGGTGGACGTCGAGGGGCTTGCACTCCCTGATGGTTGTTGCCACCTCCTTCACCGCCTCAGTCATGCTGCAAAAGACATTGATCTCCTCCATCAGGCCTCCTCTCTTCCTCTTCCTATCATGGACGGGGTCAAATGGCTTGTCAAAGGGCTTTGCAGCGGGCTTGTCAGGGCCATCAAGGACCTCGACGTCCGGTGTCCCAGGGAAGACTGGCATGGGAGAACCAAGAGGCTCACCCGAGCCCATGGCATGGTTCCTAGTTGCCAGCCCGAAGGAGAAGATGTGCTGCATCTGGCTGTAGTTCTGGATGGGTGTGTTGAGGAACTCAGCGTCCCTTGGCTGGTCCTAAGAATGAAACACAAGTGTTGTTAGTTGCGATTAGGAGTAGGCAATGGTGGACAGTATGGAAAGGAAGAGGGCTGTGAGCTAACCGCGACATGGCCGGCGTAGTGCTCTGCCTCCAGAACTATGGAGCAAGTGTTCTCATCCCATGAGGCGCCGCTAAGGTCTCTCAGCTTGGACACTTGGATCCACCGACTTCTCCACTTCCTCAGGTGGTTGTACACCTGGGTGGCAAACACCTCTTGCCCACAGAACTCGAACACCTGCTTCGCAACGGTGTTCAAGTGCACCTCCTTGAAGCTCTTGTCAGTCCTAACTCCACTAGAGATGAGCTCACACATCTTGTTCAGCAGGAATGTGGACATGAACGGCTGCCACTTCATGTTGTTCGACCTACCATCCTTCTTTGCCTTTGTTGTTGCTAGCTTGATTGCAGCGGCAGCAGCAACAACAGCAAGATTTGGCTCAACGAGCACTACTGGCACATAGAGGGAATCAGACGCGAACACCTATGAATCAGGTGCCATCTCGGACATAGGCTGCGAGTCCTCGACAAACGATGGAGCAGCCTGGCTGTCGGACACGACCAGGGCCTGACTAAGATCTTGCGTCTGCGTGGTCATGTCATACAATCGTAGCACACATTGACAGTAAGCATAGCACACAACATACCGAACAATCCATGAAAGCAGAAGCATACATGTACATTGTTCATCACTATCATAGTAAGCACATGCTTCATCGCTATCATACCAAGCATACCAGACAATCTATGAGCAGGAACATACATCTACAACAAACAACATGCTACAAATGGACCACCAGTAGCTACAAATCACAGATCTAAGCATGATTCAACACAAGCACAAGGTTCAACTTCAAACTCTACTACTAATCTAGCCTACCACATGCTTGAACGTCTAACCCTACCACAAATTGCAACCGTAGCATAGCAACCAACCATATCAGCTCATAGATCAGACAACTAATCAACCATGCATCTAGATCAAACCCTAGCTGCAGCTCAGATCTAGCTAGAAGGAACAGAGAGAAAGGGGGATTGAACTCATAAAGGCCATGGTTGCAACTTGAGGACGAGGGGGGACGGTCGTGGAAGATCAACGCCGGCCGATGAAGGAGCGCCGACGCCGTGGACCGCTGGCCGATGAAGATGCGCCACTTACCTGCTCGTCGGTGCTGATGCGCGTCGGCGGGAAAGCTCGAATGGAGGAAGAATGGTGGCGGGAGTTGGGGCGGTGAGGGAGGGGCTAAATAGGGGTGTACTCGGCGGGAGGTGAGCCGAAATCCTCCCGCCGATTTTTCGGCGACGCGGGCGAGCTCGCGCCATCTCCCCTGCTCGCACGAGGGGAGAAGCGCGTCGCCCTCCCCTGCCTCGCCTGAGCCAGACTCGCGAGCTATTGCCGATTCGGGCGTTTCCCCTGGGTCTGGCCTGGACGTGCTTTAAGTTTCGTGCGATGCGGGCCGCACAGTGAACGCAGACAACCAAACGGGCCACTTTCTTCCCGCGCGGGCCAGGCTGGGCCTAATGGGGGCAACCAAACACGCCCCATATGGTTTTTTAGGACTTCATGCAGGCAACCAACATGCGCCCGTTATTTTAAAAGAAAAGAACCCAAGAAAACTTCAGTGGAATAAATAAGTTTAATCGGCGCCAAGGTTTAACGAGACCGCTCCATTATTGTTCACACTGACAATTCAGTACCATTATTGTTCTCGCTGAGAATTCAGTAAATTTTGTCACACCAGATTGTGCCTTAGGATAGCTCCATTATTGTTCTCACTGAGAATTCAGTAAATTTTGTCACAACAGGCTGTGCCTTAGGATATCTCCATTATTGTTCTCACCGAGAATTCAGTAAATTTTGGTGCAACAGATAATGCCTTCAGATTTTGCAGAACCAGCACACGTACATTCTCACAGTAGCCAAGTCTTCAAGCACTTCAACTCCGAGTTGAACCTGTAAACTTGGCCTGGGGAGGCACTGATCACGGCAGAGCGATCGCCGTAGTGGATCCTCGCAAGCGAGTTCCCGCTGCTGCCAGACCATACAAGAGCTTCATGGAGGGTACCTTCTTTCCAGCAGATGTTAACCGTCGTCCCGCCTCGGGCCCTCAGACCTTTAACGCTCCCGTGGGGCCACTTGTCGCGGGGCAGAGCAGGGAGCAGGTACAGATCACCCCCGGTGCTCTGCACAAGCATTTCACACAATGCAGCTGGGAATCTGCAAGAGAATACACCGATTGTGATGTTTGCGAATCGATCGTGCAACTAAGTAGCACGGTCACTATTGTTAGACCTCTTTTAAGTGGTTAACAGTTGACAGCTTAGAGTCATCACCGAGGTTATGCCTACTAGCTGCAACTTTGTGTCTCGCAATTCAACAAATCATACTATGGTAAACAGGTTGGATTGAAATGATTGATTAGGCTGAAGATGATCTGGTTTACCCAAAATTTGCATCGATTTGGAATGGTGGAAGCGCCGTGAACAAATTGCTGTATAGACCTCCTCTATTGTCAGGCTTGTCATTAGGATCTCTCAAAGTGATTAGCTGCAGAATCATTTTGTATGCATGCTCACTGTTGTGAAGATGAGCCCACAGGGCCATCTTCCATGAAGTAGACCGCTATTGCCTTTGGCTCCTAGGTGTATATGCACCCATTGTCGAAATACACATTTCGAAAAGTTAAAAATTCGGAACAAAAATCCCGCGTGTATATCCGGACATTTTATGTGCGTGCACAAGGTTTTAGTGAAAAACGGCGTTTTTTGTGGCTTGTGTAAAAAAGACAATTTCTGATGCTTCATTCTAACTATTCACGAGGCATTTCTTTATCTTTTTTACACAAGCCACAAAAAACGTCATTTTTCACCGAAACCTTGTGAACGCACATAAAATGTCCGGATATACACGTGGGATTTTTGTTCCGAATTTTTCAACTTTTCGAAATGTGTATTTCGGCAATGGGTGCATATGCACCTAGGAGCCAAAACGCCGCTCTCACCACCCAGGGCCTTCATCACCTAAACAATAGAAAAAAAACTCAGTGCCAAGCAGCAAAGACAGAGAAAGTGTGGTTACAGACAATCCTTGCCATAAACGTGATAAATTTGACATTCTTAACAGTGCCATGCAATTGTTGAAAATATAAATATGCGGTACTTTTCAGATCAAACTGAAAGGTGACATAAAAGAATATAACAACTGGTCATGCAAGCAAACTGCATAAGAAAAAAATCAACTTAATAATACCACTAGACTGTTCGCCATTTGAAAGAAAATGACCATGGAAAAATAAGATCAGCAACCTTTGTAAGAAGTTTACAAAATTCTGACACAGACAACACTGAATTATCCTCTTGGAACATGGTAACTGTTTATTTCAATTTTACATGAGAACAACAGTGGTCGATCCAGTCCCAATTAACCTTGCTATCCTTCTACTACGAAATTGTTGAGCACCCCCGTTTCAAAAACAAAATAAAATTGTTGAGCACCCAAGCTGATGCTGGTGTGCATAAGTGTATAGCTAACATCTGTTTTAAGAAGTTTTTAAGTTGCTGTGGGTTTTGTTTGTATTTTTGCTCTACTGAAACAATTGTGTTTATACATATACTGCTTTTGATGAATGCAATTACAGTATGTCACTGGATGGCCTTCCTCCTTTATTCTTCTGTGCTATATGTCCATTCCTCTTATCTTCAACAGTTAACCCTCAAAATCTAAAAAATGCTGAGATCAGCAAAAAGGAGCTCATGCAAGATCGAGTGACCGTCATGGAAGGAATCTCAGGAGGTCATCATCTAACAATAATTTCTCTGAGATCATAATTTATTTTGAAACAAACCCAAACTAAAGACTGATAACTTCAAATAAGGATCAAATTATAATACTGCCCTTCTGATATGCAAAAAGGTACCTCTTTTATAAAGAGTATTGGCAACAGCTCTGCAGAGGTCAGGTGTTTGCTCAAGTGTCATGGTATGTCCAGGATAAAGACCAAACAGATGAGATACATGCCTGTGATGAGGTTCGGGATCCTTAAAATCTTGTGCCTGTGCATGAAAAAACAAGTATTATGAAACTGAACAGACCAACTGAAATCACTTTGAGAGATAAAAAAATAAAAAATATATACATACCCATTCCATGATTGTACCATCTCTACCAATTTTTATTGGCGGGAGCCTTGGTAGTGCCGCTTTTATCCTCTGAACCACATCAGTGCTGGATTTTCCTAAAATCTGATAACACACGTATGAATACTTCAAACACATAAACATTCAAATAAATACATGCTAGAATGACAAGACTTAACTATAACTCTAATATAACGTTTTAAATCTGCATGCTTCATTCATAGTATCACCAAAGTATCTGCATATTAATTGAAACCTGTCTCTTTCAACAACAGTAAATAGAAATGAAGACTTACATCAGCAGACAAAAGAACAGCTGAGAATACTTCTCTAATAATTGACATGTCCATAGTTGTTGAATAGCTCACAGATGCGTCCTTGCCATCCGGAGCAGTAAAATAATGCTCTGGGGAAGTAGAAGGATTGGTCTCCAGATAGCCTTCTTGGCCTTCAATCAACCAGGACAACAGAAAGGAGGCAGATCCTTCCAAAAGTGGATACGCTGTTCTCTCCAAAAATTCCTGCCAAAAAAGAACAGAATATCACATCTGATGTAACTTGATCTTGTCTAGATCACATTTATGTCTCTCCAATCTCCAGAAGATGAGCTTGCACTTTGCGGCAAAGCTATCAGTATGGATTTCACCATATATTCACAACATCCTCTAAGACATTATCCATCAATCAGAACACATGAAAAAGGTAGATGAACCAACAATCTATTCAACAGGATAGTTAAACACTATTGGCCAGTCATTGCTACTAAACATCATTATCTTTTAGTACAGTTAACCAGCTTGTCTAATCCAAATTTGTTGGTGCTTGCCTTATCACTCATATTTGGTTTAAGCCTACCTTTTACCACCAATTCTTCAAATAAGATAGTGTAATCACATAAACATAAAGGGAGATTAGGCTCCAACATAAGCAAGCGGCGACAGTAATTCTCATATCTGCCTATGACGTATGATCACAATCTGTGCTTAAAGGTGATACAGGAAAGTAATGCATACAAGTACTGCATGACATTGCATTCCATGCCCATGTCATCACTCACTCTGTCCATCGTAAAACTGTAGTGTTCCCACAGGTGTGTAGCAAGCCATGGCCCACCCATTGGCCATATAGAGCAAATGAAGGATCACCATAATCCGGTGATGTTTTTGCCCACAAGTCTGTGACTTGGTGACTAACCCAGCCATTAGCTCCGTAATTCACCTGTAAAGAAAACATATCATTACCTCAAAAAGTTCCCATGAAATACAAGGTGCCAAACTATGCTATAAATCCATTTGGAACATGTAAACTGAATAAAATTAAATCTGGTAATATGCTTACACACAAAATATTTAATAGAGTTGTCCAAATAGTTCCTCAAGGAGATGCACAAAGTTGCAATTCTTTATCCTTGAGTGATCAAGGGCAAGTGCCTCTCGAACTTCAAATTTTGTATTCACATTTACGTTGTTGCGTTAACAGTAAATACTCAATAGTCGATACTCAGTGACACTAAGAATGAACTGAGGAAAGACCCTATCATCTAGATATATTTATAATGTCGTGGAGCAAGTGTTGTCGTGGTACTGTAGCATACAGTATCATGTGGAAATCAGATATTTGAATAACTA